TTTTTTTTCTTTCTTTTTTTTTCATAGTTACTTTACATAGGGATTGGTCTTGAGCTTGACTGTCCTGCTGTTCAAGACCTGTTTGGGGATTAAATAGTCAGGATATGGTTGTGCAATCCATTCTTTTACTAAGTATTATACCAGAGAGGAGAAACCCTGCATCTCCTAGTAGCTGCTTATTACTGGGTCTGCGAGCAGCAAACTCGGAGACAGCAGTTACTGGTGCGTGCTGACCAAAGGCAGCCCTTCATGCCACATGAACCCACACGCACATATTGGGGCGAAAAAGAACGAAAAAGCCCCAGAGAGGCCGCCCCACTCCCTGACGCGGGGCCAGAGTGATGCGGCCTCCAAAGCGCCAGGCCAGCAGCTCCTTCACGGCTCCGCCCCCGGAGCGGCCTACTCTCGCTCCGCCCCGGCCCGGCCCGGGCAGCTCGGTTCGGCGCGTGAAGCTCGGTTCGGTTCGGTTCGGTTCGGGCCGGGCCACGGGCGCAGGGCTGCGCGCGGCGGGGACACGCGGGTGAGTGGCCCTCCGTGCCGTGGCCCCCTTTCCCCGCCCGCGTGGTTGCGCGCTTGGGCTGCGTGCCTGCCCCCCCTCCTCGGGCTTGTGCGGACACAAAGTTTTAAGAAGAGACAGGCGAACGAGCCAACAAAACCGCGTTGTTTGAGGGGAGCTCTGGCGCCCTGAAGGGGCTGCCCCGTCACGGTGGGGGGGGGGGGGGGGGCCCCTGCGGGGGGGCCCGCCGGGCCCGGTGGTCGGTGCCGCCTGGAAACGGGCGGCTCCTCCCGCCGCCTTTGAAACGATATATAAAAATAAATAAATAAACCAATAACATAAAGAAGAGGGGAGCTGTTGTGCGCGATGTGTCCCCGCACAGTCGGAGTTAAGCGGAGTTAAGCACGGGGGAGGGCGAGCTGTCACTTTTCTGTCACGTTTCTATCTCTAGTTCCATCTGCAGGCGGACAACGAAAATGCCTTTAAAGGGCTTTGTTTCGTTTTGTTTTGGTTTTCGAGGGGACTCAAGGTACCCCCTGTCTGAGGATGAAAAATCTGTAGTGTATCTGTATATATATTGAGCAAGATCTTCCCTGTGGTATTCTTACTCATGGCAATCACTTTACATGGCTGTATAAGTGGTCATCAGGGTAGACCTCAGGGATCTGAAAAACAGCCCTGATTTCACAGGGCTGGGGGGGGAAATGTAAATTCTTAACTCTTCAAGACCTTGGCCTCTCAACAAATTGATAATTGAACAAGGCTAACATGTGGTAGCTCTTTTGTATACACGTTAACAGATCTAGTATGCCAGGAAAAATAAAATGAAGTAAAATGAAGTTTTCCTATCATATTAAGAAGACTGTATAAGAATTAAACATCCTTCAGAAAAAACAAGATCAACACAGGAACAGTTCTGTATGTCAAAGTGAATGTCTGGGCTTTAGCCAATTCCATCATAGAGTGGGGGAAAAAAAAGCCATGGACCTGCTCAATTCTTGATTTTGAAAAAAAAAATGGATAAAGGATAACAGGTCACTTAAGGAGATGTCATTTTGTGTTCTTGTTGTTTTTGCAGGACATGGAAGACCAGGAGCTGCCATATGTGCTAATTGATTGTATAGAAGGGAAACATGGAGTATATAAGGACCACCTTGGATTTCTGAAGAAACGTTTTTGCCTTATCACCATGAAAGAGTATCTTGAAAACAAGGAGATTCTTAGCAAAAAGATCAGAGCTATTTATATGTGGTATCACAAGCCCGTTATTGACGAAGAGCTGCTCCGGAGCCTGCCTAACTTGAAGATAGTTTCAAGCTCTGGAGTAGGAATAGATCACTTGGACCTGAAGCTCCTGTCCAGGTTTGGTGTGAAAGTGTCCAACACTCCATTTGCTGTTTCCACGGACACTGCAGACTTCGGGATGGCTTTGATGCTGGCATCTGCCCGGAGACTTGTGGAAGGTAATACATGAAATTATGTTTAGTCTTTCTGTAGAATCACAGAATGATTGAGGCTGGGAGGGACCTTTGGAGATTATGTAGTCCTGACTCTTCAAAATATACTATTAAAAAAAAAGGCATGCTGAAGTAAAAGTAAGTTAAAAAAAAAACAGAAAAATACAAGGATGAGGAAAAGTTAAGATAAATCTGTCTTGCTGACAATAACTTAAGCACAAGGCATATAGTTTGCACACAGACATAACAGCGATAGCTACATGCCTTCTTCCAGACACATCTAATTCAGATCTCTTCAGCCTCAGCACATACCCTTTCCTTGTGCTGCTTGTTCACTGCAGTCTTGCTTTTCAGGTTCTGATAAAGTGGGATAAAATTTACAGATAGCCCTAAGAGCTGTCTTTAAGCCAAATATTAGAGACATTATGAAAAAGCACTCTAGAAATCTATCCTTGTACTCTGCGTTTCTTTTCCCTGCTGGTTTTGGCATATCTTCAGGATGGTTGGAAATCTTATTTTGGCCTTACCAAAAGTCTTTCAGTGATGCTACAACCTGTGTTTCATCAGTTACCCAGTGCAGTATCTCCAGTATGGGTGTCACCTGTGGCCTTGCTAGTTTCATTAGCCCTACTGGCCAACCACCATGAGTCAGTCACCTGGGGCTGAGGTACCAGTTAACGGCACAGGAATTGGTTCTGCTGGCAGAGAGAGATGACAAGAAGGTTTGTGATGCGTGTCAAAGTGAGTGTGCAACTTTGTCCTACCTTCCTTGTCTTCCATAAGGCAGGAATATATTTCTATCCTAAGCAAGAAATCAATTTAAGAAATTGTGTTGTACGTGCAACATTATTCACTTCTTGGCTAGAGAAACAGTAGCACTAAGTTTTGGTTCATCTGCTTCTGAGCTGTGCTGTCATAGAATAGTAACCAGATGCCAGAGACCATTCAATTCTTACACGATGTTTTCCCTCTGTTTTCTTTTCCCGCAGGCTATCAGATGGCAGTTTCCCCTGACACTGAGTATTTCCCTGGTAACTGGCTGGGAGTTAAAGTTTCTGGGGCAACTCTAGGGATTGTTGGAATGGGCACCATTGGCTACAAAGTGGCTCAGAGGGCCAAAGCCTTTGAAATGAAGATACTGTACCACAACAGGAACCAGAGGTAAAAAATGATACTGCTCCGTGGAGAGTCTGTCACTACTTTTAAAAATTACCCATGCCTTGGGCTGTCAAACTGGTCTTATGCTCCCTCTGTGTCAGGATATGATGATACCTGCAGCATTAATAAACAGTGTAAGAGTCAGGAAGCAAGGAGGGCTGGCTGCTCGCGCAGTGAAGGGGACCAGGCGCAGTGGTGCGTCGGCCACCAGACAGGGCCCAGCCCCACAGCACCTGCGCAGCACTGAGCCACAGAGAGTGTCTGGCTTCAGCCAAGAGTCCAGACCACCAGGCAAGGTCGCAGTGACGAGGCAGGGCTGAGAACAAGCCGGGAAGTCAACCTGCACGTCAGGTCCTGTGATGGCCAGGTAGGGCTGCAGTGAAATGCATATGAAGTTCTGGCAGATCTTACAGCCTATAGTTTTCATGAACCAACACGGATGCACACATCAAGGAGACTTCTATTGATACAAATTTATGCGGATTCAACCATTGCCCTTTTGTGTCTGTCTCTGAAATTTTCAGATGGGTTACTGTTCACAGGGAAAAGAGTTCATGTCAAACATAATGGTGTCTTGCATTTGGGTTGGAGAAGAATCCTCATCACAACCAGAAACTGTGACACAACTATATTTACTATTTATTGAGTGCATTTATGTGGTACTCGTTTCTTACTTTCCTACTGCGCAGTTTTGTACAGACCACTTGATACCTTGGGGATCAGAGATTAACATTTCCTTTGCTGTGTTTCAGCCAAGTAGCTAGCTAGGTGCTTCTCACTTATGGTGATTTGAACTTTTCCTGTAACTTGTTGCTTGCTACTGGAGTTTGTTTGCTTGTTTGTTTGTTTGCCCTCAGAAACAAGGAAGAAGAGAGTGCTGTTGGAGCTGTTTACTGTAAAAAGATAGATGACTTGCTCCAGCAGTCAGATTTTGTGATGCTGGCTGTGAATCTGACTCCACAGACGCACAAACTGATCGGGAAGAGGGAACTGGAGCTGATGAAACCCACAGCTACTCTCGTTAACATCAGCAGAGGTGGGATGCAGAATAAATAAGAGCTGCTTTATGATTGTCTGTCAGATATTAATTCTGGGGATATTCACTCCTGGGGAAAATCAACCTGTCATCTTGAAATTTTCATTAAAATCTCAGATTACTGGATTATTTAGAAATCCGTGGCTGTATTTTGGAAAAAAACTTGCAAATATTTCCATAATTCTGAACAGGTAGGTCTCTGAAATGTCAGTGAGTTTAGAGAGCTTGAAGACTGCGTATATTTGTGTAACCTCCTACTCAAGCTTTTTATTTTCTTCCCTGTTTAGTGCAGTGCTCTTGCTAACACACATCGAGGTGGCACGGCCCACCCTGAAGACTGGCACTGAACTTTATGGTACTATGTAGTGCCTTTTAAAATATCTGACTGTCCAGCTCTGATGTGAGTGCCCGGGTTTTCCACCCTCTGCCACTTCTGCTTTGTGAATCATAGAATTACAGAATGCTTACCTCTACAGGTCATCTAGTCCAACCCCCCTGCACACGCAGGGTCACCTAGAGCACATGGCACAGGACTGCGTCCAAGCGGATTTTGAAGATCTCCAGAGAAGGAGACTCCACAACCTCTCGGGGCAGCCTGTTCCAGTGCTCTGTCACCCTCCCTGTTAAGAAATTTTTCCTTAAGTTCATGCGGAACTTTTGGTGCTTCAGTTTCTGTCCATTTCCTCTAGTTCTGTCAGTGGCCACCAGTGAAAAGAGGCCAGCACCATCCTCCTCGCTCCCTCCCTTGAGGTACTTGTAGACACTGATCAGATCCCCTCTCAGCCTTCTCTTCTCCAGCTGAACAGGCCCAGCTCCCTCAGTCTTTCCTCATAGGGCGGGTGTTCCAGGCCCCTGATCATCCTCTGAGCCCTGTGCTGGACTCTCTCCAGCAGCTCCACATCCCTCTTGTACTGTGGAGCCCAGAACTGGACACAATACTCCAGATGTGGCCTCATCAGGGCTGAACATCACTAACCTTATAATTTGTCTGAACACTGTGCCAGAAAAGGTGGTGAGAGATCTGTAAGGAATATGAAAATAAGAACATATTTATTTATTATTTTCTTAATGTAATCCAGGTCTGGTTGTGGATCAGGATGCTCTGATGGAAGCCCTTCAAAACAAAGTTATTAGGGCAGCTGCTCTGGATGTGACATATCCTGAACCTTTGCCAAGGTAGAACACAAGTTTGAATTAAATCTAAATGGGTTTGTGTGCTTCAAAGTAAGTTTGTGAGTATGTGAGAGCTTATGTAATTTTTATAATTTTTAGTAGAAGGACATAATGCAGGTGCATAAAAAAAAAATGATGTCTGCAATCGTTCAGTCCTAGACAAACCAGACTCACACTGACTTACTTGGAGGATTCACTGCAAGCTAGGCAGGTGTTGAACTCCACTCTGAATACATATGGATCATGCCATTAGTTTTTAATTGTAATTGTTACTTTGTCTCTGGCTCCCTTCAGATCCTGAAATAGCAGATTAATGCCCCGTGAGTGCCTGTTTCAGTATTTCTTTCCTTTTTTTCAGGGATCATCCTTTGTTAAAGATGAAGAACGTTATAATAACTCCTCACATTGGAAGTGCCACTGAAGACACTCGCCGCATTATGATGCAGGACATGGCTGAGAGCATAGAAGCTGCTCTTGCAGGTCTTCCTGTCCCTAACGAAGTGGTACTGTGAAGTGGCCTGCGTTTAACAGTGCTGTTCATGTTAGCAGTGTTTATTCTGATGTGAGGAAATGGTAACTTGATCATTCTTCATGTAATTAGCCACTGATCACGCAATTAGCCTCTGTGTTACACAGATAAAACACAGAGGCGCCATGTGTGGTTTTGATTTATTTAAATAATAAGTGATTCTGTGCGGAAAACCGGAGTGTTTGATCCTGAGCTTAAAGGAAACGAAACAAAACAAAAGAAAACAAAACAAACCCCCGTGTACTGGTGTGATGTATTTATGTTGCTTCCTCCTGGAAGCGCGGCCCTCTGAGGGCCCTCTGGCTCGCGCCGTGACCGCTCACGGCCCGGGCCCGGCCTTGGCGCAGCCGCGAGCGGGTTTGTGCCGCCCCCGCTGCGGCCAGCGCCGGCAACACAGGCCGCGGCGTCGCGGTTACGTTGTAGAAGTGACAGAAAAAT